TGAAGCGGAATCACGCCAAGTACCGCCGCATCCAAACTTTGATCTACGACGCCCTGGAGCGACCCCGCGGCTGGGCGCTGCTCTATCACGCCTTCGTGTGAGTAACGCGGGCGCGCTGCCCCCCGCGGAGCGCGGAGCGGGGTGTCGTGTGTGTGTGTGTGTGTGTGTGTGTGTCACGGGGGTCGCGTCCCTGGGGCCACCCCCAGGAGATGTGCCCCCGGGGTTACCGTTTTGCTTTATCATTCCCGGCGTAAAGGCGCTCCGGGGGGTGCTCGCTGCAGCCCCGGGGGAGGGGGATAGCAAAGGGTCTTATGATGGGGTGTGCTGCTGAGTGGGATTGCTTATTTATTTATTTATTTATCTATTTTTATGTCGTCGGGTGTTCCAAAATGAGCGGCTGCTTTTAAGTCCGTGTCTGTCTCCTGTACATCCACCCGCGTTGCCGTGCAGCGGCGTGCCCTGGCCGGGAAAAGGGATTCCAGAAAGACCAAGGCTCAAAGTGCTTCAGGGGGACGTTGCCAGCTTCAGTTCAGCCTGGAGCATTGCATGTGGTTAAACTAGCTGGTATAAACCCCGAGTGAGCCGACTCTTTCGATAGTTGAAAGTGTCAAATGAAAACCATCGGCTTTTGGTCCAAGTAGCGTCACCCTGCAGTGCATGAAACCTGAGCGTTGCAGTGCTGTCAACCAGAAAGTTCAACTGGTCACAAGCAAACTGAGACGAAACAAACTTGTTTTGTGGCCCAAAGGTGACAAATCAAGTAAATGACCACTGGTTTGCATTCCTAAAAATTCTATTCCCTTAAGGAATACAGGAAAAAATATGTTTACAGCATAGAACGGAGTTGGCAGAGTCCTATTGAAATAAATGTGGGTTTTAGTGTCGTGAATGTGTTTGAAAACCTGGGAGATTGTCTGTGATCACAGTGTTCCTGTTTTTCTTTAATGCTATAACGTGTACAGAGCTCTGTGTGATAGAGGATTTAAGCAGTGATTTCTGAAATTGGTTTGTTTGCCAAAGACAAACAAAGTGCTGTGAGGCTGCCTGGGCTGTGAGCCTGGAGCTGGATCTTGGGAAGTCCTGGTCATTGGGGTAGTCTTTGCACTTGCAAATAAACTACCTGAGTGCAGGGTTGTGATTGTACCTTCAGGCAAATTTCTTGTGTACGTTTGCAGGGATTTAGCCCTGGACAAGGACTAGAAGGCAGCATTTGCTACTGAAGTGATGCTGCATACCACTCACTCGTTGCTGCTCCCCTCTTTTCGGAGCTTTCATAAAGTGCATCTTGGGATGCAGATTCCTGCTTTCCAGCTTAATTTCTGTGAAAACGTGGACACTGGATGCTGTGACACTTTTTCAGTTCTTTCATCCCTTTTTGCCATACGAAACCTTGTGGTAGCGGGCAGGAAGCGATAGCTTTTGGGGTGTGTTACACTGGGACGACTTTTTGGTCTGGATCTTGCTGTGCGATCGTGCTCAGCATTGCATAAACACTGCTTCTTGTTGGGGAGAGCCATGTCTGGACTGAGGGGCAACCCCGTTCATCCTGCCTCGGTCAGCCCAAAAACACTGCGTAAGTGAGGCTTTAGCACACGCCAGAGCATTATGAGCAGTTGGCATCTCTCTGTTTGTGGCCAGCTGTGGTCACATCCATGCCCAGGCTCATGTCTGGCTACAAGCAATAGGATGGTGGATGAGTCTAGAGAGGCTCAGGTGAGCTGAGAGATTCACATTTCTTTGCAGTGGTATAAGAATCTCCAACTTACAACATTCATTTTAGATAGCTCTTGCGATGTGTGGTTAACCTTAAGATCCTTATGCAATATGGATCACAGAATGGGAAAAAGATCAGTATGTTTGTCAGGTTTGATCCTTCTTGGGAGTGGACCAGATGCTCTATGTGGCCACCTTCTCTTTGGTGACTACTCAGTCCTGCAAAACTGAGATGTGAGTCTGACCTGCTCTCGCAGAAGTCAATAGCAGTCTCATTAAGACAATCAGTGCCAAATTCAATTTTAATGACAAAAACACTTTTATGAGTCCTTATCCTTAAAGGAAGTGAAATACACGAGTCCTGGTCTGTCAGCCCAGCACACCAGGACAGCCACAAGGGCTCAGCAGTCGAAGGCTGCCGTTAGCCACGCTGTGTTTCTATTCAGTCTCAGCTCCTTCTGAACTCAGTAGAAGTTGTGAGCTCTTACCTCGCTGTAGGATCAAACCCTACAAAAGAAATCTGCCGAAAGTGATGGAAGAGTGTGCTGAGATCTTGCTGACAGACTTCAGAGCTTGTTCCTGCAACTGGAGAACCATGACCCGCTCAAGAGCAGGAGCAGTGCTGTGGGGAAGCAGCACCTAAGTTGATACCTAGAATCTTTGTTCTTGCTTTCAAATGAATTGTCTTTTAACCTTTTTCCTTCTGAAAAGGAGTCTCTCTCATGTTGGAGGTGCTGCTGTGACACTGCGTAGTGCCATCCCAGCAGTCCCCCAGTGCTTCTTTTCACACTAGAACAGTTTACACTTTCCCTTGGGTAGGTGAGAGAGTGCCAGCCTTTCCATAAAATCTACAAATTTGATGCTGTTTTAATTTTCAGGAAGAGTCCCATTTATCTTAACGACATGTTACACTTTGTCTCAGTCTTCAGAGTAATTTTGCAATAAATACCATGCAACCAAAATTAAGAATAAGAAGGTTGCTTTAGTATACAAAAACCCCAGAGAATAAACAGCTGAGGGCCAAAAGGGTTTGCAGCATGGGTGGATGTGATGAAATCCTTATAGATCCAAACATTCAGAGGTGTTTAATGAAGAGATGATGCAAAGGACTCCATTGCTCTGTATATCCCAGGATTTAGGAGGTGGGAAGCTGCTGATGGAAGAGGGTTAAAACTTTCAGAACACGCCGAGAGTGTTGGGTGGGGGCAGGAAGGGGCTTTGCAGAGGCCTTTGCGAAAGCTTTGGATGCCAGAACTTTTAAAAGGGTGGTACAGATGGGATCTCGTTAAATCGTACAGCGATGCCCATATGGTTGCAAAGGGGTCACGGTCCTTTGTGTATCTCACTGCTATAGTGCGCACACAAATAAGGTTTGACGCAGTGCCTGTTGTAAATGCTCACTTGAATTTAGGTGAGGTTAGATCTACTGAAATGATCCGATCTATTGAAATAATTCAATGAGAACGCATAAACTTGATCGGGCCATACCAAGCCCTAGGGACAAAGATGCAGGGGAGAAAGGGAGAAATTCCTGATGGCAATTTTAGCATTCAGTTTTCACTGGCAGCAATTTACGGAAAGTGACATGAGATATTTTCCTTGTGATTCTTCCTCCTTCTTTGTTCTACACAAGTGAGTCTATCTGAGCCTATCCTTATAGCAAAGAGAAAGGTGATTTGGTCCTAAAGAAGCCGACTCTGTTTCCCTCACCATCTGAAAGCGTTTATTCTCTGGCAGCTCTGCTAGACAGGAGATTTACCTAACACCCGTGAAGTTCCCCTTTGCTAGGACACCAGGGTTCACAGGCTTCTTGGCAATATGGCAATATTTTAATGGCATAGTTGGGAAAGGAAAATTGATTTTCCCATGAAAAATTTCTCCTCTGTAAAGCTAAACTCCCACTGAACATTTTCAGTAAAACAAAACAAAAAAAAAGAACAAACGAATAAAATCTGGTTTAAGCTTTGAGGTTTTTAATTTGGAAATGTCTCTTGGGGGTTGCGGGCCAGGCTACAATCTATCGCTGCTCTTTTCTGACCTGTTCTCCCTGTAGGTGTAACTGCTGTTCCTGTGAGGTACAGGATTCTCCTTTATGTTGCACAGTGCAATATATTGCAGGAAACCCCTGCGGTTGTGCCTTGTGGGATGTGTACTTTGGCCAGGGAGACCAACTCAAGACCTGTTGGCCTCCACGAGCCATCCAAACACTTTATTTATGTACAGAAGCATAAATTAATTGAATGAAAAATTGAAAACAAGTAAGATTTTTATTTTCCAGTTTATTTTTAATTGTAAGCACAAATTCTTTGGTGGAAAATGGACAGAGTCCAGAAAGGTAACAAAGTACAGATCAAGTTTGCAATTGCAGTTTGTGGAAAATTTTCAACCTGACTTAAAGAAAAGAGAGGCTGAAGGAGAGGTAGCTAGGAGATATTCTTATTTTCATACCATCCTCTGAGACAACTGCAGCCTTTACTTTCATGGAAAAACAAGACTAGGGAAAGGTTTGGGATTAGATTTTCTTTTTTGGGAAAGTGTGCAATATTGACTGCACTCTGCTGGTGTAGATCATGACAGATTACCTGCTGATGAAAGAGGGAAACCATGGGGAACACTTGAAAACCCTTCCCTATTTGCCATGCAATCTTATTTCAATACCATTTACTACCTGGAATAAAAAGAGGAGGCAGAGTCATGCAATCCGTCAAATCGTCAGTGTTTCTGGGAAGCAGCGGAGAGCGCCTCTTGCATGACTAATGGTGGGTTGTTTGCGGAAAAGAGTGCCGAGGGACTCGGGGAACAGGTTGAAGGGCTGGGGACTTTCCATTATTTTCCTCGTCTCCCTTCGGGAGATGCTCCATAAGATGTGTTGATCCACCAGCCTGTGTCAGCCATCTGGGCTGAGGTGGGAACAGGTTCAGGGTAAGAAGGACAAATATGAATCCCTCCTTGGCCTGTTTGGCGTGGACTTGTCTCTAAGTGAGTCCCTGGAGCAGCAGAGCCAGCCTGGTCCATTAGCAAGTGCCCTTTGCTCATGTGTTCGCCAATACGACTTCTGTTTTAATTATTTATGATAATCCATCATAATGCATAGATAAATATTCTGTAGTATACTTTGTAAAAAATAATGAAGTCTTAGTCTTTGGAGACCTCACCACACACCTCTGCTATCACATCTCCGTTGAGGCTTGTGGAGTCTGCCCTGGGTTTGTGTGCGGTTTAGCACGATATGACTGCATCATCTCAGCTGCAGGGACCAGCTGGCACTGCAGGCTGTGGCCACCAGCTGCTGAAACCTGGACGTTGCTGGTAGGAACGAGAAGGGGCAGCAGAACCTGGGGAAGCCACAGGCTGTATGATGTGAGCAGCTTGCCGTCCCCAGTC